GAAAGAGAGACAGAGGGCGAGCTGGGGAGGGACAGAAAGAGGGGGAGACACAGAATCCAAAGCAGGCTCCAGACTCCCAAGCTGTCAGCACAGAGCCAGACACGGGGCTTGAACTCACGGACCATGAGATCATGACCTGAGCTGAAGTCAGTGCTTAACTGACTGAGCCACCCAGGCGCCCCTACCATTGTAACCATTCTTAAACATTACAATTCAGTGGCACTAATTACGTTCGCAATCTTGTGCATCCATCACCACTCCCTAGTTCCAAAACTTTTTCAACACCCCAAACAGAAACTCATAACCACGGAGCAGTGATTCTCCAATACTTTCTTCCGGCAGCGAATGTAGTGATTTTAGCATAATGTCTATGGGAACTGGCCTTATAGGTTCTTGCTTCATTTAAACAGCCTTGTTAGTGAATGAACTATTCCAGTTAAGCTCGTTTTCCAGATAACTAAACCACAGGCTCCAAAAGCTTTTTTTTTTTTTTTTTTTAACTCAATAAAAATCTTTTAGTTGATAGATTTTTCACAGGACTTGTTTTTTTTTTTTTAAGGATACTCCTGGATTCCTAAGCAGGGGATACCTAACATCTTAGAAAGTCTTCTTGATAGAGCAGAGCCATATAATAAATGTTTATTTTGAACTACACTGTAATAATGACAGCTTTAGGGCCTATTGAATTGGTTGAATCATCTACTCTTCCACCAAATGGCCCCAGACTTCTCAGCTATTTTATTTTTTATTTTTGAGAGAAAGGGCACAAGTGAGTGACAGGCAGAGAGAGAGGGAGAGAGAGACAATCCTGAGGGGTGGAGAGAAACAGAGAAGAGGTAGAGAACCCCACAGAGGGCAGAGAGAGAGAAAGAGGACAGAGACAGAAGCAGAGCTCACCCAAAATGGGGTTCAAGCTCTCCTGATGCAGGGCTCGAGCTCACAAATCATGAGATCATGACTGGAGCCGAAGACTGAGCCACCCAGGCACCTAACTTCTCGGCTATTTTAGTTCTGTACAAACTTTAGAGTTTTATTTCTTTTATTTCCCAACAAGCTGTCAACTTTCACTTGTCACAAATTTAAGAGTACTATTTTGGGGTGCCTGAGTGGCTCAGTCAGTTAAGCAACTGACTTCGGCTTAGGTCATGATCTTGAGGTTCATGAGTTTGAGCCCCGCATCAGTCTCTGTGCTGACAGCTCAGAGCCTGGAGCCTGCTTCCGATTCTGTGACTCCCTCTCTCTCTTCCCCTCCCCTGCTTGCTCTCTCTCTCTCTCTCTCTCTCTCTCAAAAATGAATAAACATTAAAAAAAATTTTAAGAGTATTATTTTGTATTAGTTTTTGTTTGTTTTTTAGTATTGCTGCTTTTTTTTTTTTTTTGCTGAGTGAACTGCACATAAAATGAACCATTGCATTTATTTATTTATTTATAAATTATATTTTATTTTGAGAAAGAGAGAATGTGCATGGGAGTGAGGGAGGGGCAGAGAGAAGAGACAGAATTCCAAGCAGGCTCCGCACTGTCAGCACAGAGCCCTACTTGGGGCTCGATCTCACGAACCGAGAGATCATGACCTGAGCCAAAACCAAGTCGGATGCTTAACTGACTGAGCCACCCAGGCGCCCCTAAAATGAACCATTTTCAAGTGAAGTATTCAGTGGCATTGAATGTATTCACAAAGTTGTATAACTGCCACCTCTATCTAGTTCCAAAATATTGTCATCACCCCAAAGGGAAACCTCATTCCCATTAAGCAATTAGGGTACTGGGGTTTTACTCAACAACACCTATGCCCTTTTCATTTCTACTCCAATATGCTGTGAACTTGGAAACTAGAACACCAGGCTTTCTAGGTCTCTATTGAAATAGGACTGGCTAGGTGCTGTGTACAGAGCTCAGGGCCTCCATTAGCAACATTCCGGAGCATGAGTTTAATTCCACTGACACATGACAATCATTTTTAGCTACGTAAGGAGCTCCCCACTCCCTCAACACTTCACGCTTTGACATAATTGAGGTCATTTAATACATGTGACTTATGGAAGTATTTATCCGTATGTTCAGCAAGAGAAATGTACAGAGCACCTACATGTTACCATAGCATTTTCATACTGCTCATGACAGGCTTCCACATGGGAACACAGGAGGTGGAGAGCGGCCCTGGGAAGCCCTCTCACTCAGTGGCCCCCAACCTGGTCCACAGGCACCAGAATCACCTGGTGACAGATTTTTTATTTTTTATTTTTTATTTATTTTTTTTTTAATTTTTTTTTTCAACGTTTATTTATTTTTGGGACAGAGAGAGACAGAGCATGAACGGGGGAGGGGCAGAGAGAGAGGGAGACACAGAATCGGAAACAGGCTCCAGGCTCTGAGCCATCAGCCCAGAGCCTGACGCGGGGCTCGAACTCACGGACCGCGAGATCGTGACCTGGCTGAAGTCGGACGCCTAACCGACTGCGCCACCCAGGCGCCCCGTGACAGATTTTTTAAAAGCAGGTATGGATCCCCATCCTGGACACATTGCATCAATATCTCCCAGGGTGGGGCCCAGGACTCTTTTTTTAAAAAACGTTCGTTCACCGAATAGAGGCGCCTGGGTGACTTGGTTTGTTAAGCGTCCGACTCTTGGTTTCCACTCTGGTCACGATCCCACGGTTTTGTGAGGTTGAGTGCTACCAGTGCAGAGCCTGCTTGGGAGTCTCTGTCTCTGTCTCCGTCTCCGTCTCTCTCTGCCCCTCCCCAATTTGTGCACATGTTCTTTCCCTCAAAATAAATAAACATTTTTTAAAAACAAAATGTTCACCAAATAATTCTACTACAGCTACTATGCTATTTGAATCACCCGTCTGGCCGGCTCTTTCTGTCCTGCATTTTACGTTTAAAGATGAAGGTCATTGTCCCACGGCCGCATGTGGGTGATCAGTGGCGCCCGGCAGCTCAGCAGCCAGCTTACCCGTGAAGGCCACGGAGAGCGGCAGCATCAGGACGGCAAAGAGCACAAAAGCAAAGCAGGGGGCAAGGAGGAGGAGCGGGAGCTGGGTTGGAAACACACAGACCCTTTCCTTGCCTTCGCGCTGCGATTTCCTTATGCATCTGCGAGGCCCAACCTTCTGGCAAGTCGGCAGATGGCAGGAGGTCACTCAACGAGAAGGGGGGAGGTGCAAGCCAGGACTTGCCTCTCTGAGAGAGCTGAATGTCTCTGATGCTCGTGCTGCCGACTCTAAGACCCACATTTCCTGCACCACCTCTCTAAAGTCTGACGGCTTCTAGGAAAGGAGTTTATAAACTGCTGCTCTGCCAGTGCCAGGAAGCCAGAAGCCACCGGCATGCGCTGAGCCAGGCAGGATCAGCCCTGTGCTTCCTGGGAGCCCAGACCTGCTGCAGATGGTTCTTCCCTTCCCTGCCTCAGATTCGCTGACAACCTGATTTATCACTTCCAGAATTTGCTTCACGAAGTCTTTTTCCCTTTCCATTCATTTGGCCCCATGTCCCACAGAATATGATACGAGATGGTCTCCTAAAACTTCTCACTGACACACAGTGGAAGAGAGCTCTTAACTGCTTGGGGCTTTGCTTCCTGTTTGTACCACCGGGAAGGGACGGAGACACAGCCTGGGTCCAGTCCTGGCTCCGTCACTCATTCGTCATGTGGCTTCGGGAAAATTAGATGGCCTTCTGGGGTCTCACATTCCTCTTCTGTAAAATGCATTAGCAGACGCACACCCCAGCTCAGTTTACAGCCACTATTATGATCAGGCAATTCTTTCCCCTTGTTACTTCTTGGTTTCCCCATCTGTTAAATGGCTTGCACATACAGGTTTTGTTTAGACATCTTTTTTGTTAATTATGAATTTGAATGCCTTTTGGGGAGGCCTACACCCCAGTCCCTGCTTTTAAATTTTAGACAGCATTACACATCCCGCTAGGTTCCAATGCCAGCCCCAAGAGCAGAGACAGAATCTCTGAGTGGATATCATGGTAGCCTTCTTAGCATTCTCTCCTTCCTCTCTAGGCAATCACCCCAGTTTTTCTTTTGGTCTCCACACCTGTCCACATCCCCATTCTCCTATGTAGTTCATGTGCTCTGGCACAAGCTGACTCCACCATGGACTTTGGAGAAGGGCATGAAATTTAGCCCTAAATTAATCAGCAGAGTAGTTCTCATTGGGCATCTGGTGGGTAAGCTCATGATTCATTTTGAGCCAAGCATACCCAAGGGGAGAAGAAAAAAAAGCCTTCTCACTCTTCAGACAGAACTTCGAAAAATACGATTTCTCTCCCTCCCTCGCCAATGGTGTGCAAGCGCCGTGCTCTAAGGGCTGTTGGCCGCCATCTTGCCACCATGAAGGGGAGGCAGCCTGAGAATGACACGTGGAAGGCAAAAAGGAGAGGCAAGAAGAAACTAGGTCTTCAAAGGCATTTGTCACCCACTGAATCACACACCCATGAAGCTAACCTATTTCTGGACTTTCCCTTGATACGAACCAATAGATCCTCTGTATTATTTAAGCCAGTTTGAGTTGGATTTTCTCTTACTTACACTGAACCCTCTGTAATTAGTTTCATCTACAAGGCCCATTCCAGTTTCAGATTATCAAAGACCACAGGTTGATTTGTGAATCCCAGTCGTCTCAGGAGGAGAAAATTGCTGAGACTCACCCCACCAAACCGGAAACTCCACTACTACACGCCCTGGAAGAGCAGGGTCCTGCCCGTCCCCTTCCTGCCAATCAATCTTGACCTTCACCTCCAGGAAATGTGGAGGATGACAGGCATGTGGGAGTGATCTGCCCGGATGTTCACTTCTCCCTTCAAACTGCCCCTCCCTGAATGAGTGTAACACTGCCCACCAGAGCTGGCTTTTCACAGATGTGCAGCCCGTGCAGTGACACGGTGCCCTGTGCTTGGGGGGCAATTGCATTTGGCTTAACACTCTCCTGCTGCAGTCTTGAATTTCTTAATGAATTTATCTTTGAACTTGTATTTTGCAAACGTAGTCTAATGGGACAGTCGAGCCTGCGTGTGAGAAGATACGTGCCACGCGCGTCTGCCACTCTTGCTGCCGCATTCTTGAATTTTGCTGGGCCCACGAGGTGTCAGCAAGACTCCAAATGAATACAAGGTAAGCATATTACAAGGAAGCAGGGGCACTGACCACCCTGAGGGCCACATTTCCCATTTGAACGAGAACTTGCCTCAAAGGCAGTCAGAGGCCGTGGTGTTCTAAGAAACACAAATGGCCAAGGAATCCTGTCACTTCCTTTCTTCCCCGGGTGGCCTCCCTCGGTGGCCAGCCGTTTCTCACCAACATGATGACACACAAGGAAAGGGACAGTCAGGGCCATTCCTAGTTCCTTTGCCATTCAGTTCTACCTCACTCATCACAGAGAGTTTTGGTAAAAAGCATCCATGATCAAGAAGCGAAATGAAAATAATCATGGTAGTTTCGCGTAGTGTTTCTGCTGTTTTCTGGCAAAAACAAAGTACCTAAGACCTAGGTAACACGAATGTGTGATTTTGGTGATTCTACATGTGAGTCAGATGCCCTTTGCATTTATAGCTGTCATTAAACAATATTAAGGTGAATGGTAACATTTATGCTAATCATTTAAAATTGTTAATGAAGTGTATTTTATTTTTGTTTACTTAAAACAACATTAAATAGGAAATTAAAAATACAACGACAAATCAAAAGAGGTTGCTGAAGAAAGGATAAAGCTTTATGCACAGTACCCTAAACAGAGTTTTTTCCCTGCCTTTTGGACAAGGTGCTCGGCATTTTCATTTTGCAACCGGGCCTTGCAAATTATGTAGCTGGCTCTGTTGACTACAGGGGACACAGCGTTGCTGACAGTGTGCCCAGTTAAAGAGAGAGTTTCAGGAAATCTAGCCACATCTGTTTTAATTCCTGGTATAAGGTGGAGGTCAAGGAATAAACTACTTGCTGGGAAGTGGTAGGAAAGCAAGAAGCTGAAGCATCCCATCTCTATTTCTGGCCTTGAGCTTGTTAGCTGGATGATAAAGTGATTGACATCCCAGAAAACCCTTCACTGTGCTGCAGGCTTATGACAGATGGCATCACCCGGCCATGTGTGTAATCCAGGTGTTGTGTTCAGTGACACAGAGACGTGGGGCAGCCCCAGAGGAGGCCCCTGCCGCACAAGCTTCCTACCTCCAAGCGAGTCAGGGAGAGAAGGCTCGGGCCAGAGCATCCCTAACGACAGCCCAGAGGAGAGCATGGTGAGCCTCCAGCTGGAGCCAGACCACTGGCGACCACATCTCACTCCAGGCCCACAGCAGGTTGTGTGAACTGCAGGGCCCCTGAACCCTGAGGGTTCAATGATCTCATTTAAAACACGATAAGGGGTGCCTGGGTGGCTCATTCAGTTAAGCCTCTGACTTCAGTTCAGGTCATGATCTCACAGTCTGTGAGGTCGAGCCCCATGTAAGGCTCTGTGCTGACAGCTCTGAGCCTGGAGCCTGCTTTGCATTGTCTCACTATCTCTCTGCTCCAACCCTGTTTGCATGCACTCTCTCTCTCTCTCCCTCCCCCCCACTCAGAAAATGAGTAAACATTAAAAAAAATTAAAAAAAAAATAAAATACGATAATAATTATAGGACTTGGCTAACAGATCTGCTAAAATGATTGTGTCATAACCCATGTAAGGCACGAAACACAAGGTCTGCTGCATGATAAACATGGGTGTTAGCCATTATCATTATCATCACTATTATCATTATTTTTTTTTTCAACGTTTATTTATTTTTGGGACAGAGAGAGACAGAGCATGAACAGGGGAGGGGCAGAGAGAGAGGGAGACACAGAATCGGAAACAGGCTCCAGGCTCTGAGCCATCAGCCCAGAGCCGGACGCGGGGCTCGAACTCCCGGACCGCGAGATCGTGACCTGGCTGAAGTTGGACGCTCAACCGACTGCGCCACCCAGGCGCCCCATCACTACTATCATTATTAAGGATGTGTGACTTCCCTTTGATTTCAGACCCCGCCTAGAGATCAAATGGGGAACTGGGAAAACAGCTGTGAGGGAGGCCCTATGGTTCCCACGGACTCTGATGAGCTGAGCAGGGACAGTCTTAAACCTAGAGCTCCCTGGAATCAGGCCGTGCCCCAGCCCTGTCTGCAGCACCACTGTCTGGGTCTGAGGCTCAAACCCACTCAGCCTCAGAGACATCATTCTCAGGTTCTCTGAGAACTCTGGCTACAAAATCACAATCCCCACCGGCAGGACCTGGGAATCTGTGTTTGAAACCAGCGGCCCCCAGAGATGGTGAAGTAGGCCGTCCACATGCCATCTTGCACGTGAGCTAGGCTGGCGATATTTCTGCCAGGCCTTCCTTACAGCCCGGTTGCTCAGGGCAGTGTGAGGTGTGGGGCTGTGGGGTTTCACCGAGATGAGTAATTAGCAGTGAACAGCACGGGGGCTTCTTTACCACTTGGACCAGCCACGCCACAGTCAGGAATCAGAAACCCGCACCTCTCCCCCGATCTCTCCCTGGGGGGGCTGGTTCCACAGTCGTGGGTCATCAGGGCTGAGCTGAAACAGGCTGAGCTCCCTGGTGACCTTGCCTGGGCCAGGATGGCAGTGTGACAGCAGTGACTGCCACTGATAAATACTGCAATGCATTTGAGCTTACTAAGCACTGGTTGCAGTGTGGCTCAGCCCGCTGCATCCTGGGTTCTGATCAAATGAGTCTCTATCAAGTCCATTGCAAAGAGCTCAGTGACAGAGCTCAATCAACTGAGAGTCCCAAAGGAGAAAGTCATCCAGAGTTACAGCAATGTGGGAGGACGTCAGAATCAGAAGGTTGGAGCCAAACCATTCTTTATGCCAAAAGCACAAATAAACTGCCTCCTGACTTAGTGAGGACTATGAAGAGGAGGGCAGTGTCCCAGTTAGCCAGCTCAGCGTTCTTGCTCACACCTTGAAGTGGGTTTAACCCCGCTGCTCCCACCATCGCTGGTTAGAGACGAGGGAGTGCCCGGCTGTGGGTCAAAGTAGGCAGCCAGAAGCACTCAAAGCATTTTTAAAAGGGGTAATCTTGATGGGAAAAGTGGGCACGCTCAGCTTCGTTGTTCTCAAGGATCTCCAGAGCCTGTTTCCCTTGAGTAGCAAGTGTATCCCCTGCTCTCTTGCTTCAAGCGGAATAGTTCAACACAGGAATTGAGACTAAAACCAGGTAGTTTTTCTCTGCAACGCCACCTTTCAGGGGTCCCACTGACTATCCAATGCCCAGCAGGCAAGTGACAAAGGGCGCAGGAGGATGACCTCTTTTCTCCCAACTGCCCTCCCAACTTCCCTAGATCCATAAAGGCACCAAACCCCGTCCCCTATGCCACTTCTGGTACAGTCAGCATCCTGTCTCTGCCTCGTCTTTCCCATCTGTCCCTCTTCCCCTGCTATGTAAGCACCTGCTGCATCCTCTCACCTGGCCTGTTTTGCAGCTACCCCCTCACCCCCAGAGGTAATGGCCCCTAGCCGCTTGTAGGAGGTGGCATTTTGGCATTTTGGCATTCAAAGCACTGCCTGCTTTGAACGGGGATGGACTTCATTACCAATATTCAAAATGGCCACGATCAGCCACACCAGCACAGATCTCACAGCCTCACAAGGGAGATGAGAGGCGTACCCGAGGAGTGAAACAAATGTGTGTGTGACAGAGGCCACGAGTGGTGCACGGAGCAGCAAGCAGCCCAGAGGAAGAGAGTCCCCAGGAAATCGAGGAACGCTTCCAGGAGAAGGCTATTTGGCCCTGGTGTTAATGGCTGGGTAGGGTTTTGAAAGGCTGAGCTGTGGACAGATGGCTTTTCAAGTCAAAGGGAAGACCCTGGAGGAAACAAAAGATTCAAGTACAAGACGCTCACGGTGGTTTTGGGGAGTGGCAGCTCGGCGAGTTTAGCTGAATGCAGGTGGTTCGTAGCAAGACGAATGAGAGATGAGGTTGGAAGGAGATGTTGAGAATAGGGGGTATTTGGATTTTATTAGGAAGATAGAGGGAGTTGTTTGTAGGATTTGGAGCTGGGGTGACACAGTCAAAGTCAAACCACTGGAAAAAGGATGGGGCCATGGCGATGGGGCAGAGAGAGCAGGCGAGAGGCTGAGCTGTGGTCTAGCCTGGTGAGCAACCAAAGGTGCAGATGGGACAGGACCTTGAGTACCAGTGAGGTGTGGGCATGAAGGGAAGAAAGGAACAGAAAATGACTCCAGTGCTGTGCTTGGGCGACAAGGATGGTGGTGGCATTGACAGAGATGCGAGGACAGAAAGACGGGGAGCTTTTGGGAAAGAACATGTGTTTGGTTCAGAATTCACTGCCTTTAACGTGCCAGGTGACCGTGTCGGCATCTGTGAGCCCAGAGCCCCAGGACTTTCTGAAACCACCCCCGTTGCCCACATTCTTGACTTCCCCAAGGTTCAAGGCTTCCAGGTGTTCATGTAACGGGGTGAATTGGTAAGAAGCACTGGGCCGACAGATGTCAGAATCTCTTTCTCCGGCAAGGGTGGCGACTTGGAGTTTCCAGTGTGTGGGGCAGCAGTTCCATGGGGCTGTCCCAAAGGAAAAGGATGGAGCCCCGATCGGGAGAGCATTGGGGGGGGAGGGGCAGGGCAGCCCTCCTAAGCCCATGAGAAATGGAGTTTTTGATGGAACCTGTGGCTGGTGGCCCTCTTCCTGGAAGCTTCCAGAGAGAATTACAGGGAGCACCTAGAAGGGGGCACCAGACCCCCAGCCTTGTAAAGATCCCAATGGCCCAAGCCTGACGCCAGTGCTGGCTCCATGCAAAGACAGCGTGCTGCTGGGAACAGGGGGAAACAAGGGGTTCCTGGTTTGTGCAGGAAACAAGGGGTCTGGGTGCAGGAAAGTGGAAACCCCCCTTGTCTGGAAATGACGATGCCCTTTCTTCCAAGACAAGCATTTTCTGCTCCTAAGCTGTGTGTCCTTAAAGCTACCTCTACCGGGAGAGCCCCTTTTAAAAGTTGCACAAGGGGGCTGAATAGGCTAATAATGGCCTTGTCCAGAGAGGGGAAGCATTCTGTGCTCCAACCCCCCAAAAGAGGGATCCCCCTCAACTCCTACAAACTGAATTCCTGTGTGACTGAAATGCT